AAAAAAAAGAAGTGTATACAGCCACTCTCAATAAAACAGTCTGGTCTGCACCTTGCAGATTTCTTGATTCCCTTTCCTTTCCTCCCTCTCTCTCTCTCTTTTTTTTTGGCAGAACGGGGGATTGAACTCAGGCCCTTGCCCCTTGTGCTTGCCAGTCAAGTGCTTATTCTACTTAGCTATCTCCCCTGTTGCTTTTCTTTTCTTTTTTTTTTTTTGAACCAGGGAATTGTTACGTTGTACAGATGGCCCTCTGTACTCAAACAATCCTCCTGTTTCAGCCTCCCGTGTCTGGCTTTTTTTGGGGTCATTGTTCTGCCAATTTGCTTTTTTTTCCCCTTTCTTTTTCACTTGCTATATATCAAAGATATATTTACTCATGAGTGCATAGATAATCTTTTTTTTTTTTTTTTTTTTTTTTTTCCCCTTTCTTTTTCACTTGCTATATATCAAAGATATATTTACTCATGAGTGCATAGATAATCTTTTTTTTTTTTTTTTGTTTAGTTCATAGCATTTCAGAACATTAATAAACCAAAATGGGCTGAGTGTGGTGGCATACGTCTCTAATCCTAGCACTCACAGGAGACTGAGGCAGGAGGATCAGGGAGAGTTCAACCCAGCCTGGGCTACATAGCAAGACTCTTCAAAAACAAGACAGAAAAACAACAATAAATTAAAATGGGCCAGGGATGTAACTCAGTGGCATAGAACCTGCCTAGTAAGTGCAAGGTCCTGAGTTTATTCCTAGAAGAAAGAAAGAAAGCAGTCAATCAAAATGAAATTTTGTTCTAATTGATGTATCTTTCTCTAAGACAGATCCCCAAAGTGAAATTTCTGGGTCAGAGTATACACACTATAAAATTGGCTATGTAATTAAACTGAATTTCTTTCTTTCTTTTTTTTTTTTGGGTGGTGGGAGCTTGAGACAGGGTCCCGCTGAGTAGTTCAGGATGGCCTTGAACTCATTATGTAGCCCAGACTAGCTTGGAACTTGTGATGATCTTCTTGCCTTAGCGTCCGGAGTACTGGAATTACAGCTGTGTATGACCAAACCTAGCTTAAACTGACTTTCAAAAGATTATGTTAAAAAAAATTAAAAAATAAACAGATTATTATACAGTGTTCACAAGCTATAAGACAGTATATTTCCTCACAGACTCATCAACACTAGGTATTATGTTTTAAGTATTTAATTTTTGCCAAAGCTGAAAAAAATGTATCGTGTGGCTATGCTTAATTAGAATTTATTTTTGTAAGATTATGCAAACTTCCATATGGTTACTGACTATATTTATTTTTTAATGAATTACATGCATATTCCCCCCATTTAAAACAAAAACTAGCTGGGTAGGGTGGTGTAAGTTTATAATTTCAGCACTCGGGAGGCTGAAGCAAGAGGACTGCTGAGAATTTGAGGCCAGCCTGAGTTAGATAGCCATACCTTATCTCAAGAAAACAAATAAACAACAACAGGAATTTTTTGTATGTGCAGGGTCTCATTACACAGTCCAGACTCGTAGTGATTCTCCTGATTTCTGCCTCCCTAGTGCTGGGACTATAGGCGCACGCCACCATGCCTGGACTCCATCACTGGCTCAGTTGCTGGCATGGCATATAGAGCCAGGGATCAAACCCTGGGCCCTGCATTTACCTAAGCAAGTGCTTAGTCCGCTGAGCTATATTGCCAGTCCTAGCAACAATAATTTTAAAAACATTTGTTTTTCAGCCAGGTGTGGTGGTGCATGCCTTTAAGCCAGCACTTGTAAAGCTGAGGCAGGATTTGTGGCAGGTTTGAGTCAGCCTGGACTACAAAATGAATTTAAGGCCAGCCTAAATTACACAGTGAGAACTTGTCTACATGCACATGCACACACGCACGCATGCACACACACACACACACACACACGCACCCCTCACAAGGTATGTTTTTCTTATTGAGGAGCTCTTTGAGTTTTAAAATTAGCTCTTCCTTATATATTAACTTCTTACCAGTTCAATTAAATAAAGAAGATCAAACTTGTATATTTTTTCCATTAATTTTTATAACACAGCATAATAGGAAATTATATTTCACCAAATTTATTCAATAGAAGAACTGGCTGAAATGGTACCTGCTTGAGCAACACACAGGATGTCAGTACATAAACAAATGTAGTCCCTGAATGACACTTGCTATAAACTGTTAAGAGGATAAAAACGTTTTTTCCTAGGCTTTCCCCACCTTATTCATCACACATTAGTTTAAACATATTAAATGGTCAAATTGGCTAATTTCCCCCCAAAATGTCACCATATTACACTGTCAGGGGAAGTAGTGACAGCTGTAGCTGGAGGATGGCAGTCAAAAAAACAAGGAAGCTTCCTAAGAAGAAGATACAGGAAGTAGAAAGGATAGATTTTTTTCTATTAGAATAAGTTGGGGGCTGGGGAGCTGGCTCAGTAGAATAAGTGCTTGCCTGGCAAGTACAAGGGCCTGAGTTCAATCCCCGGTTCCATTAAAAAAAAAAAAAAAGGATAAGTATAAATACTCAAGTCTTCCTAATAGCGTACATTTTAGAAGTTTATGTTTTGGTTTTGGTGCTGAGGACCGAGCCCAGTGCTTTCAGCTTGCTAGGCAAGTGTTCTATGCTGAGCTAAATCCCCAGCCCCCTAACAGCATGCTTTGGATGAGTGAAATATACATGAAACTAGGGCAGGGAAAGATCAATTACCTCTGTAAAGCTCTGCCAAGACCCCAGTGGTAGAGACAGGCTGGGCCTTCTGCCCAACTCCTGGTTGCCATTCCTTTGTGGTACGGTCAATGTGGGGGACAAGACTTTCCAAGAATTGTAAGAGTAAGGAAAAGCCAGAGTTGGGCAGATGTATCAGAATGGTGTACTTCTTCTGGATGCTGCCTAGTGGACATGAAGCCCTTGTAGGACAGGCTTTGTCAAATGCTTGGTATAAGGTTATGCACTACTTTGCCAGCCTTCCATCAACAGGCACCAACTGCAAACCCAATTACAACATCTCAAAGTACAAAAATAGCACGTTAGCTCATGTTCTCATCACATTCATACAGAAGGTTCAAAAATAGCACACATAAAGCCTTAGGGTTGCTTGTCCCACTAGCCTGCTAGAAAACTACATACCTGAGCTCTCTTCAGAAGCTCCTGAGGACAGGGTTCCAGGTACTGTTTCTACTATAATCTCCATGTTTCCTGGGCCTTCTTCAGTAGCTGTGGCCTCTACCAGCAGGCAGCCTGGCTCAGTGTCCCCAGGACAGGTATTTGGGATGGGCCCCAGGATTCCGCGGTTAGAAAGAGCTGGGGGAATCAGCAATAGCTCGGGACACAGTCCATCCATTTCTCCAGTGCTGTTGACTGGCTGTGAATCCAGTGCAGTGTCTGCCATCACCACTGACCAGTGTGCTGTGGCCTCTTAAATGCTGACAAGCCAAGGAGAATAAAGACAAAATATGTTTAGTATATATACATAGCTCAGTACCTACCTACAGAATGTTCAGAACAAAGAGAATAAATGAGAATAAAGTTTAAAAAGGGTTAATATTAGGAGAGAGCCAATAATTTTAAGCTAACATATTAATGACTGTAGATTATTTTTTGCTACTAAATAGCCCTAGTCAAATCATTTTGTAGACCAGGCTGGTCTCAAACCCACAACAGTCCTCCTGCCTCAGCCTCCTGAATGCTGTGTGTGTCACCATGCCCAGCTTGTTTTTTTGAGACAATGTCTCACTATGTAGCCCAAGCAGTCCTTGCTTCAGTTCATGGCAATCCTCTTGCCTCTTGTAAGTGTACCATAGCTGGCCTTTCAATTTTTTTATCTGCAACAAAATTCTGTAGGGTCAAAAGATCTCAAAGGTCTCCTTACTACTTGGTGATCTCCCTATTCCTCAGTGTTGGGAAAAGGCCATTCTATTGCCACCTGACTTCCACTGAGGTTTCCGGATATAATTCTGTCTCTCCCCTGAGATCCTGGAACCACATGATTTGTCATGCTCCAGACCCACCATCCTCCTTTAGTTGTACACCCTTGCCCCCTTCTACCTCTTGCAGCTTAATGTGCCTTTTCCCCTTCTCTCTCTTGTCTGGCAACCAACTCCTAACTGTAAGAAGCAGCACAAATGCCATTTCCATGGGCCAGGGAGATAGCTCAGAAGAATAAGCACCTGCCTGACAATCAGGCAGGTTCAATCCCTGGTACTGCAAAAAAAAAAAAAAAAAAGTCATTTCCATAATGAAGGCTTCCTAATACTCAACTTTCTTTTTTGCAGGGTCCTGGTGGCTGTATCACAGCCTCAGCCCCAGTGTGTCACACTGCACTACTGTTTACCTCTTAGTCTGCCACCTAAATGTGGAGCTTTTTGAGTATTTAACCTGACGTTATCACTTCCATGAACACAGAATTCTGATGAACGATTAGTAAACACTGAGCTGCATCCGGGTGATATTAGGCATCTGGTACCCAGGTACAAAGTACAACTGAATTATATGTAGTTCCTCAGACATAAGTCATCACATCTGAAGAAATCTGCCATTAAGGCCTCAAACCGAAACATATGTGAGAAATGAATGGCATGTCCAGCTATACCTGGTTAAAATGTTTAAGCTGAAAAAATTTTGCAATTAATTTGAACAATAATTACCTCATGAAACTGAGTCACAGAAATTTAAGGTATGAACAGATGTTCCTTATTCTCCAAAATGTTTCTAGTCAAAACAGCTGATCAGTTGGGTGTCTTGTTGGTGCATATATGTAATCCCCGTATTCACAAGGCTGAGGCAGGAGGACAGCCATGAATTAGAAGCCAGCCTGAGCCACACAGTCAGTTCAAGGCCAGCCTGAACTACATAGCAAGACCCTGTCTCTAAAATAACAAACCAAACCAACAAAAATCCAAAAACAAAACTAAACAACAAAAAAATAGTGTATTCAGGAAGCAGGATATATATTTCTGTGGCTGAGGGGGTAAGCCTCCACTTACTGCTTGTTATCGCTGCTCTGGGCAATCTTCTAGCTTCTAGGAGGTGAGAGCCAAGAGGAACGCAGCGCCCTGTAGACTGAGAACCTTCACCTGCGAGAAAGCGAGAGAGGTAGCAGCAAAGTGGGCATAGGAAGAAATGTGCCTATCTTTGAAGCAAGGGCAATAAGGAAGGGGAAGGATAAAAGCAAGGGAGAGGGAAGGCCAGGGAAACTACCCCAGGCTCCCGGGTTACCACCTGCCTCTGAGCTCTGATTCACCGTGTGGCTTCGGACAGATGCAGCCGCCACGCTTCTCTGGGCCTCAGCTTTCCTATCTGTAAAGTGGAGGCGATGTCAGTGTCCACATTGTCAGGCTGGATCAAGAAAGCCAGCGAAGGGGAACGGCATTTTGTAGCCTGCAAGCCTTGGGGGGACCACGCGTCGTCATGACTGCGGTCCTGAGGAGAGGCAGCAGGGACCCGGGCGGGGTCCAGCGCTGTATCGTGTCTAAGGCGCGGGCTGCTGCTGACAGACGCCGGGGCCCGCTCACAGGAGCGCTCCCCAGAGCACCTCCTCCCACTGGTTCCCGCCGCCCAGGCCCACCCTCATCCTGGGCTCGAGGAACTTTTGCCTCCAGCTCGCTCCACCTCCACTTCCTCCCAGTTCACGCCCCGTGGCGGCTCACTCACCTCAGGAGACAGGGCCAGCGGGAGCCGCATCTCTATGGTAGACAGCGGCTGGAGCGGCCTCCCAGGGCTCCTTTTGTGTGACCGCCCCGGGCCCGTCCCCCTCTAGAACATCCGGCACGTGGAGCCACACTTCCCTGGTAGGCCAGTGGGTATTCTATGGTTTCTTTCCTTCCCTCGGTCGTCCTTGTCGCTCCCGTAACCCTGGAGCGCAAGGAGGACCATCGAGAGTTGTGGGACAGAGAGGCACAGTCGTTTCGGTGGGCGTGGCAGGAAGTAGCTGGGAGATTTAGGGGGCGGGACGAGCGGAGCTACACTCTAGGGCCGAGGGGTGAGACCATCGAGTCCTAGGGCCAGAGAGCCTTGGCGGTAAGGGGGTGGGGTGACCAAGTACTCCAAACCACGTTCTCGGAACCGTGAGCCGCTGTTCGGAAGGGCCTTCTGGGTGTCTGGAAAGGATTGAGGAAGAGAAGAGCTTTGTCTGTACCCTTCGATGCATAGGTATTTTGGAATTTTGGATCCCAGCTCTCCAAACCTCAGCAGAGGTCCCTGCTGTCAATTCACAGCCCTTCGTGTCGGGCACCCGGCTGGCGGAATGGCACGGGTGGGTAAGGAGGGCTGTCGGAGAGATGCGCTAGAAACAGTTTGGCTATCTCTCAGGGTCTTTTATTTTTTATTATTATTTTTTTACAATTGGACCTACCACGTCTTTTGGGGTTGAATTTAGGAACGGCTTTATGGAGAAATAGATGGGCAGAATGGAAAGAATAAAGAACGGGGATTCCGAGCCAAGAGAGCAGCAGGAGCGAGGAGGTGGGAGATGTTTTGCATATTTGTTGGGGGGGCATCATTAGGAGCTAAGCCATGAAAAACAGTTCAATGCCTTCTTATGGAGGTCCTCAAGTACCAGGCTGAGTTTGTATATATCGGTCAGGTTCTGTAGGGAGCCAGACATTGAAAGCATTGGAAAAGGGAGTAATATAAATTGAAGCCAATTCTCATGAAGCAAACTTTAAATCTCTGTATAGCTGTTTAGTGATGTGATGCAAGAGCTGGACTCATTAAAATGCCATGCCAATAAAAATTTAAAGACCGTTTAGGTGGAAGGCAATGAACATATAGTAAGTCCCTGGTTTAGGAATAAATTCTGTTCCTGGGGAACATTCATAAGTCAGCTTGGTTCCTAAGTCTGACGAAGTGAGTCTTATACAGCTTTGACACAAATATACAATGTACATTGCTTTGTGCTTCCTAGCAGACCCCTCCACAACACCACTGCTTTTCCTCTTGCTTCCAGACAGCCCAAGCTCTGATTAGGCACTGTACTAGGGTACACAGTCACTGCACAGTAAGCACACAGCAGCTCAAGTGTAACTATGTCCAGCAGACACACGTGCTACCTCTGGGATTTGTTTACATCTGAATGTTCCTAATGTGAGGTTTGTTCATATCTGTAAGTTTGCAACTTGAATATTTATAAGTCCAGGACTTACTGTAAACAGGACAGTAGGAATTAGGTGTGTAAAGGACAGGATATTTGAAGGACATGTGATCACCTACAGATCCAGGGAAGAGCTGCCCTTGCTAACTCTAGGCAGTGGGCCTTTCACTATCTCAGTAGGTTCCAGGCTCCACACAGATTCTGTTACCCTTTTGTGAAGCCAGTTACATTGCTGCCTTGGATCTAAAGAATCTTCAAACACATTCCTCTAGGAAACAGATAGAGTAAGCTGATGAAAGGCAAAATGGAATGAAGGGCCTGAGATGTTGGCCCTTGTATTCTAACACCAGCTTTGCCCTCCACAAAGAGAATATTAAAGCACAGAGTAGTGCTGACCTTCCTGCTTCTGCAGGAGGGAGTAGGACAAAAGCTAGGGACATGGTGGGTTCTAGTTTCTAAACTAAACTTGTGTTTTGTCCATCTCTACTGCTCTCCACCCCTAGGTTTAGATAATGCCTCACAGCCTGTAGGCTTTGGTGTTTCCCTTTCAAGATGCCACTTTCAGACTTTTTTCTAGCCCTGAAGGACAATCCCTATTTTGGGGCTGGATTTGGGCTTGTGGGTGTGGGCACAGCCTTAGCCCTGGCCCGGAAGGGTGCTCAACTGGGACTGGTGGCATTTCGGCGGCATTACATGATTACACTGGAAGTGCCTGCTCGAGACAGGAGCTATGGTTGGTTGCTTAGCTGGCTCACCCGACACAGTTCCCGTACTCAGCACCTCAGTGTCGAGACTTCATACCTTCAGCATGAGAGTGGCCGCATCTCTACCAAGTTTGAGTTTGTTCCCAGCCCTGGGAACCATTTCATCTGGTAAGGTTGGGAGCCAGGGAGGGCTCTGAGTAGAAAAGGAGAATATAGAAGCCTAGGTTTGTCACATTCTCCTTCACTTACCTGCTTGGCCATTCTTATTCAGGTATCAGGGAAAGTGGATCCGGGTAGAACGAAGCCGAGAGATGCAGATGATAGATTTGCAGACGGGTACTCCTTGGGAATCTGTTACCTTCACAGCCCTGGGCACTGACCGCAAGATTTTCTTCAACATCCTTGAGGAAGGTGTGGGATAGCATAGGAGGACTTTATGGGGGGGGATGCAGGGATGGAGGCACTGGACATCAGAGCAAGGGTAGTTTGGAGAGGAGGGCTAAGAGGATTGGCGCCCATCTGAGCAGGGGACCAGGAGGAGGCCATTTTGGTGAAGAATCAACAGTGGTAAAGAGAATTACTGACTTTGTCTTATCTCTGCCCTCCCAGCTCGAGAGCTAGCCTTGCAACAGGAGGAAGGGAAGACAGTGATGTACACAGCTGTGGGCTCTGAATGGCGCTCCTTTGGCTATCCACGCCGACGGCGGCCCCTGAGTTCTGTGGTTCTACAGCAGGGTGTGGCTGATCGAATTGTCAGAGACATCCGGGAATTCATTGATAACCCTAAATGGTACATCGACAGAGGTGAGAACTAGTTAGTGTCAGGGTTAGGCTGTTTGCGACCACTTTGTTTCAGCAGAGAGGGGGTAGTCTCTGGCTCAAGTCCCAGACACTTCTGGTGAAGGGAAAAGAAAAGTTGCCTATGCAGACAATTTCAGAAATCACCAGGCCAGTATGGGACAGGGCTGGGGATGAATGTGGACACTGGGAGCAGAGTAATGATTCACTTTTCTTAGGTCTTGTTTTTCCTGGCTATATCCGTAGGTATTCCCTACAGACGTGGCTATCTGCTTTATGGGCCCCCTGGTTGTGGAAAGAGCAGTTTTATGTGAGTAGTCACAATTTCTCTTAGCCCTGTGAAACTTAGCCTTTGTGGTAAAAGTGAGCTGATGGGGTTGGAGAGGGAAATTAATCTAGGGACCATGAAGCAAGATAAACATGAGAAAGAACTTTGCATGGGTTGTGAAAGAGACAGGCCCTTTGAGACAACTCCTAGGACTGGGGCAAAAAGCAGTTGGACCCAAGGAAGAGTCCCCAGGTTGCCTGTTACCTTCTGCCATACCATGGCCTATAGCACAGCCCTGGCTGGAGAACTGGAATACAGCATCTGCCTGCTGAGTCTCACGGACTCTAGCCTATCTGACGACCGGCTCAACCACCTGCTGAGTGTGGCCCCACAGCAGAGCCTGGTGCTCCTGGAGGATGTGGATGCTGCTTTTCTCAGCCGAGACTTGGCTGCAGAGAGTAAGTGAAAGTGCTGGGGATGGGGAATGGTTTTAAATGAGGACAGTGAGGCACAGTATAAGAAAATAAAAATCCAGAAGGCTGATGGAGGGTACTTGGGTTGGCAGTACAAGGTACTGTGGAGTAGGGAACCATGGTGGGTATGTTTATTCTGAGTGGTGCTGTGACCATTTAGCTTCCCTATCTGTCTCTCCCCAGACCCTGTGAAATACCAAGGTCTAGGTCGTCTCACCTTCAGTGGGCTGCTTAATGCTTTAGATGGTGTGGCTTCTACTGAGGCACGCATTGTGTTTATGACCACAAACCATGTTGACAGGTAAGGAGCGAGACAAGACTCCAGATGATTTGTATCTTGGGAGAACCAGGAGATAGAAGTGACTATCCTTTGCAGGGGGTTCCATTAGGACTGTTGCTTATAACTCTGCTTTTCCTCTGAGGCTGGACCCTGCCCTCATACGCCCCGGACGAGTAGATCTTAAGGAGTATGTGGGCTACTGCTCACACTGGCAGCTGATGCAGATGTTCCAGAGGTTCTATCCAGGCCAAACACCTTCCTTGGCTGAGACTTTTGCAGAACATGTCCTTCAAGCTACAACCCAGATTAGTCCTGCCCAGGTACAGGGCTATTTCATGCTGTATAAAAATGACCCTGCAGGGGCAATTCATAATGTTGAGTCTCTGAGGTGATTGGCCAGGCCACACTCAGCTCTCTTTTCTTAAGAAATCAATAAATACTTGCCACTCTGTTCTGGTCTCAGACTTCCCTTCTTTCCTGGCTGTGCTGTGTTTGCAGGGGCTGCATTACAGATGCCAACAAGGGTCAGTCATGCTACCATATGTACGGATGATAAGGGATGGCCCACGACAGAAGAAGAGATCTTAGAAAAAAGGGGAAAATATATGTTTCCACCTAAGGGCATCTAAATAAGAAATATGCAGGCAGGTGTGGTGGTTCATGCCTATCATTACAGTACCCTGAGAGGTTGAGTCAAGTTCAAGACCAGCAGTGGAACACTTTCTCAAAAAAGCTGGGGGTTTGCAAGTCGCGGGTCAGGAATGTGGCTTACTGCAAAAAGGTTCAGTCCCCAGTATCACCAAAAATGTGTACATGTGAGGGTACACCCAGTGGGTTGGGTTATTTTTGCCCCTTTAGGACTATGCTGAGCTGTCAACCTCCATCAGTTTACCCAGAAACTCATTACTCTACTGGAAGTCAAAACCCTTTTGGCCTTGCTCTCTTGGGAGAACAGATTAAAGGATGAAGGTGGGGGCCACTCTGCAATATCCCAATCGTGCTAACACACAGAGGCATACTTCACAAGGAACTGCTAAGCAAAAGAAAGGCAAACAAGGCCAAATGTCTTTATTGTTCCCCTCCCAGCCCCAATTCCCTTTCCCCCCTACAGTACTGCTAGGAACCATCCTCAGGCTCCAGACCTAGGGGGTCCTTCCGAGTAGCAGGCCGAGCGCCAGGCCGGTATGCTCCCTGGCCCCGAGGAAGGCGGGGGTAAGAAGAACCTGGTGTCCGGCCTTTGGAGCGCCCCCGTCGAGCACAGTCGCGAGTCCTTCGGGGTGGAGGGCCCTGCCTGCTGCCAGGTCCTTTTTCTTGGGGAAGACCTTCAACCTCTTGATTTTGGGGTTCCAGATTCAGGTTGACAGGCTCCTTGACAGACCTCTCTGAAACTGGCAGTTCTCGGGTATCACTGGCACCTCTGGTGGCAGAGAACTCCCCTCCCTTCAGGTACCTCCGATTGGGCTGTTGCCAGGACCCTTGATTGGCCTGAGGGGGATCTAGCATGGTTTTCTTAGTCTCACCCAAGTTCTGCTCATTTGGCTCAGTCCCTGGAATCTTCTCACACATATACTGGGTAGCCACAGGCAAAGGAGCTGGCAGCGTGGGCTGGGCAGCTGGTGAAGTAGACTGTTCTGTGGCAAGGGCATCAGGTGGTGGGTGGGCTCCTCTGGAGACATCTACCGCTGCCTCAGGTTCCAGGGAGGCAGATGCCTAGAGAGAAGAGATATACCGAGGGAGATAAAGATCCTCAAAGACAGAAAGTGCAGGCCCCTCTCTTACTACCAGCCAAACACCATTAGCCTATAACCTGCGTAGAACAAGGTGCATCTAATGTCTATGGCAGAGTGGCATTTGTAGGAGGGTTACTGGTGTTAAGGGTAAGTGAGAAACTTTCCTCACCTGCTGAAGGCTGATGAAATACCGCTTCCGCTCAGCTTCAAGGTCAATGATGCCACCCCTCTCCTGCTGCCTCTGGTAGAGCTGCTTGAGCTCTTCCTGCTGGCGCAAGCTTTCTGCACTCGGTTGATAGAGCTCCTGGAGGGAAGGAAACAGAATGGCAGGCAGGAAAAAACAAACAGGAGAAGGTGGCAGACTTGAACCTCTACTTTTCCAGAAGTGCCTTAGGAGAGCTGCACAAGGTGCTTGGTTTTATGCCTTAACAGTCGGCCCCAGTGGGGCTGTGGCTTGGTGGAAAGGTCCTAGGCAGGTCAAGCCCAATGCTAGAGATCCCATTCAGTGGAGACAAGATGCCATTCCTCCCGCCTTGGAGAACGCCATTAATCCTGGCTCAGATGAGAAGGGAGTTCCCTTACCATGGGCTGTTCGGGTTCAGGGGCTGCTTTCAGTGACTCAAGATCATACACGAGGGGCTCTCTGCACACTGGACAATGCACACCAACTGCCTCCTAAAACAACAGGAGAAATCACACCCTGCTCCCTGGCAGCCATCCTGATTTGCAGAGCACTGGGACTGAAGGGCGCAGGCTTATCTGCTCAGCAGTGAGGTAGGACAGAGGAGGAGCTACCAAGTGAGAAGTCTGGGGACCCTTGGAAGTGTCATGCCATAGGTGTGTGATATGATTAAAAGATAAAGGGAATGTGTAAATAGAAAAAAATAGTAAGAGACAATGTCATTAATTGCACTTGAAATATTCCCTGCTGCTCCAATACCAATTATTCTTGCCACTTTTTTTAAACTGCAAGACTGTTTCAAATTGCACTTCCCACAAATTTAAATTCTGCAGAAAGCCTTTTTTCCACCCAAAGACTTTATAAATATGGCTGGAAGATCAATTTTTCCTTTTTTTTTTTTTTCTGTCTCTTTGAGACAGGGTCTTGCTATGCAGTTCAGACTGGCCTTGAGCTCACTTGGTAGCCCAGACTGGTCTTGAACTTCCAACAATCCTGCCTCAGCCTTCCCATTGCTGGATTGCAGGAATGCACCACCACAAGGTTTTCAATTTAGAAGGTCATGCTGAAATGGTCAAAGATGATCCCCATGGGCATTTGTCCAGCATCTAAGAAATGAAATCATTCTGTCTGCATCTTATACTACGAATAACCACTAAGAAGATAACAACGTACAATGTATTAATTATTGAGACTGTCCTATTAATCAGTTTTGAAACTGTCTCATTGATATTTGTTTCTCAATAAAATAAAATTTAAAAAAAGAAATGAAATCTTTAAGCACCCTGATCATGAGGGTTGGTAAGGTCACTTCGCAGTCCAGAATTTATAGTTTAATTCCTCCATGTAACAGGAAAAAGTAAAATTTGTATGGTCTAATAGGGACAACTGCCTTGACATGACGTCTTGGATAGATTCCTGGGTATTCAATTTCACCTGACATGGAGTACATCTGTCTCATTTCCCTTTTCCATTTACAGCTATTCTCTTCTTTTTATCACAAAGCTCGTTGGAAATTAGTTTTAAATATATATCACAGTGATGTGCACACAAAAATCTAAATGAACCAAATCATATGTGATTCTAATTTCAATGAAGTTGAAATTGTTCATTTCAACTAACTTCATGCCACAGAAAATTAAAAGACAAAGTCAAAGAAGTCAATTGTGGAGACAGGATAGCCATGGCCCACAGTAGGCTCACTGGGCTAGAGCTGCAGATCATTCACAGAGGCTATTACTTCATTCTGACCAGGTGCCACATTGTGGTACAGCTCACCATTAAATTGGCATGAACATAAGTCAACTTGAAAAGTGTAAGGAGCCCGCCTAACATATGTAAGATCATCCTCATCAATTTAGGCCTTGGCCCTTAGGTCTGGATTACTGGAAGCAAGGAGTCCTTTTGCCACTTACTGGAGTTCTGGAGGTCCTCTTTTACAAATGTCTTTAGTTGCTATCATGGCTGCCTCAATGTGCTGAATTGACCCAAGGTGTTTACTTTTCATGGTCATTTTTATTTTGGGGAAGAGCCAGAAGTCACACAGTGCCAGACAATGGTGAATAAGAGATGAGACTGAGTGTGGCAGTGCATGCTGTAATCCCAGCACTCAGGATGCTGAGGCAGGAGAATCACTGTGCATTTAAGGGCAGCTTGAACTAGAAGTGAAACCCTGCCTCAAAAATAAATAAATAGGGCTGGTGAGATGGCTCAGTGGTCTAAAGCACCTACTTGGAACAAGCTTAGCAAAACACAGGGACCACGGTTCAATCCCCCAGCACCACATGCCAGCCCGCCTCGCCCCCTGGTGGGCTGAGCCGCCCCCCATAAATAAATAAAAAAATAAAAATAAATAAATAAATAAATAAATAAATAAGGGACCAGCCAGGTAGCTCAGTGGACTAAAGTGCCTGCTTAGGCAGGTTCAGCGACCGGGTTCGATCCCGGTTTGCAGTGCTGGCCTCGTCCCCAGGGCGTGCTGAAACAGCGATTGAGACTGGGCAGGCATGGTAACGTAAGCCTGTAATCCCAGAGCTTGGGAGGCTGAAAACAGGAGGATCACTATGAGTCTGATCTGTGTAGTAAAACCTTGTAGACCCTGTACTAAATACATAAAAAAATAAATAAAACAAAAATAAAGTGGATGACATCATCTTTTTATGAGTGTGCCTTTCTGCTGGATGGCACATGGATTGAACATTCACTGTATTCTTTATTATTCCTTTTAAAGACACAAAAAGACTTCCAGAAAAGCTTCAGAAAGTGGCAAGAACAATGGGACAAGTATTTTTATTTTTTATTATTACACAGCCCAGACTTATGATGATCTTCCTGCTTTCAGCCTCCCCAGCACTGGGATTGCAGGCGTGTGCCACTATGTTCAGACTCTATGTCCGGCTCAGGCTGCCCTGGGTGCGAGGCTGGCATGGCATGTGGTATTGGGGCTCAAACTGCAGTCCCTGCGCTTGCCTAAGCAGGCGCTTTAGTCCACTGAGCTCTCTCGCTGGTCCCTCACCATGTATTTTGATCACCCTTTGTACACATATATATAAAGATGACTCTTTATGGACAAGGTGAAATTCCATTCATTTCAAAGATATGTATGACTCCAAAAAGATGAAAATCCACTGGAGTGGAAGGATGGGAATGGCCATGAAGGTCTCAAAGTGTCAGGTGAGAGCAGGGGCTGACTAGGCTTACCTCTTTGGTGGCAGCGTGGTGCCGTTCCTGTTCTTGTTCCTGTCCTTGAGCTTTCAGCTCTTGCTCCATGTGCTGGATATACCGAGCAAGGCAGTGGCAGTGGAAATAGTGGTAACACAGTGTTTTGGTAAAGGCTTCCTTCTCCTGGAGCAGGGATGGATGGAAGGCACTCTATCAGTGGTCACCCACAAGCTGTACTCTGCCCGCCCCCAGCATATCCCAGGCCCCAACTGAGAAACCCACCTGGAAACCATAGAGGCAGATGACACACTGGCCATGGGGGATGTTGTTATCTGTAAGAATTTCCTTCCCTTTCTGAGAGAAGAAAAGACAACACTGCTCAACCCAGAGGCAAGGGCAGGAACTATCAGCCAAGCCTATCTGCTCCTCCCACGTGTACAGAGTGACTGGCTGCACTGTAACTAACAAGCCAGCTTGTTATGGAGTTAATATGCATTCCCGTTCTGGCAGTGCTCCCCTGCTTGTGACCAATCCTTCTGCATGGTCCGCCCCTTCCCCATATCTGATCTTTCTGGTTTTAAAGTCCAAGTTGTTTTTCCTCTCCATAGTGACTTTTAATACATTATTTGAACAGCTAATACTCTGGAATTCCAGAGTTTAAGGTTACATTGTGAAGACCTGACCTAGGAGTGTTACGGTGCTCCAATATGCCCACTCCTGGACTCTAGGCCACTCACCTTCATTCTAGTCTAATTATTTTGCTTAAAAATAATTTGTTTTAATCTCAAACAATAAAAGCTATCTATGGTCAGGCATGGTGGTACACGCCTGTAATCCGAGCACTTGGGAGGCTGAGGCAGGGGGATTGTTGTGAGTTTGAGACCAGCCTGGGCTACAAAATGAGCTCAAGGCCAGCCTGAACTGCATAGCCAGATTCTGTCTCAAAAAGACCAAAAAAAAGTTATCTGTGTATATTAATTTATAGCTCTACATATTGCTTCATGCGGATCGTTTCCTTAACTATGGTATAAATTCTCTTAAGTACAGAACTAGGACTTTTTCTAGGTAGCTCCAATGGCCAGCCTTCCAATGTTCATTTATGGCTAAAACTACCTAGGCAAAATCACTATTTTATACCATTTGAAGTTGTCAGTGCCCAGAGAACAATAAAGTAATGAAACTGCAGGAAAAAAAAAGGCAAGCTATACTTTTCTGTTAAAATTGTTTAAAAGGCAACTTGATGAAGCTACTGACATGTCTTTTGGTGAGATTTTCTGAAACATAAACAGTTATCTTTCTAAATTAATTTAGGGGGCTGGTGAGATAGCTCAGCATTCTAAAGTGCCTGCTTAGGCAAGCTTAGGCAAGTGCAGGGACAGAAGTTCGGTCCTTGGCACCACATGCTGTGCCAGCCCCACCCCCAGGGCAGGCTGAGCCAGCCACCAAAAAAATAACAATAATAATAACAATAATTAATTTAGGCTTTACCTAAATAACGACTAAAGGAATGACTCCAAATATGATATAGTTAGGATTCCTTTGAAAGAAAAGCAAAATAAAACAACACAAGCAACTTCTGTAGTGTCAAAGGAAAGACATTTCCCATGCCAGTACACCTTACCTCAATGAGTTCATAGAGCATGGCAGTACCCAGCCCTGCCTTGGCCATGTGGCCCAGTGTCTGTGAGATTCTGAAAGAAAGCAAAGCTAGTATTAGGTGTGCCCCTTTCCTCAGCAGGCAGAGTAGCATACCAAGTTTTCTTTGCTCTGACAGCCCAACATACTTGTGGATCTGTTCATCAGAGAGGCCTCGGGGGTTCCGGATAGAGATCTGTGGCACCTCATGGGGATACTAGTCAGGGAGGAAATAACAGGTTACTGCTAAAGTGATCCACCCCAGGGACTCTCTTTTTTCCCTTTGCTGCTGTATAGCAGGAGTCTCACCTGTACTGGGACTTGAAGCACCAAAGTAAAGCAGACATACTGTGAATCCTGGTCCTCTGCAGTAGCAGGATGCAGAGTGATGAAGATCTCCCACGGTGAAGATCTATAGTTACATGAAATGAGACTCATGATATGACTGGGCAGGGGCTCAAGGGCTGGGGAGGAGGAGGGTAAACAGGCAGAGGAAGTGAGCACTGGCTTCTTTCTTTAGAGTGGATTAAAGGAATAGCCTCTGTGTACACAAGAGACATTCTCTCTGAATCTAGGGGCGCAGTGTTGTAAAACCAGATTCTACACAGAATCCTCTTGTTACTAAGGATACCTCTGGATACCCTAGTTGAATACATACCTGCCATTTCCTTTAATCACCTGTAGTTCATCCAGATAGATGGACTCTAACACTTCAACTTCAGAGGGAAGGACCCTAAAGACACAGGAGGAAACTGACTCACCATTACAGATCTTCCTGCAGAAGCCTGCTAAAGCTGATAAAAGCTGGTTGTGTAGAAAAGTGTCACTCTACCTTAAAGCACTCATTTGTTAAGTACCTTAAAAAGGACAGAAAGTTTTCCTAAAGTTGCCAAGTAGACAGGTAGGAGGTTGGGAATCAGAATTCTAGAGATCACTTATGCCAACAGTTTAGGAAACAGATTCCAAGAGAAATGAAAAGACTAAGCAAGCATTACATTAACGTGGGCAGAACAGGGACCAGAGCTGGGTTTCCTGAATCCCTGTTCAAGTTTTATTCCAGAGCTGCTTATCTCTTAGTGGCTAACTCTCCAACCCAAATATCGGGCATCTACTTATTACTAACAAGGTTACCAATACTACTGCTGCCTTTACCTACACCACAGTTAAGCATGGATCCCAATGTTGTGCCTAGTGACTAGACATACTGCCAACACTTTAATTTAAAACCTTGTCAAAGGAGATAGCAACCCGAACAGAACAGGTCTGGGTGGCTAAAGGCTGTGTTGTGCCAGAAGAGCCATCACCCTTGGAGTCAGTATTATGTAGCAATCACTTACCAGCTACTATGTAATCTGGATTAATTCTATATGTCTGAGTTAGTCTATTACATATAGATATCATGTATATCCACTACACATAGATTCTACCTACTCTCTGGAGCAATTCTGAGGATTAGGGCTGGCCAGATAGCTCAGCAGACTAAAGCGGGCATGGTGGTACACACCTATAATCCCAGCATGAGGGAGGCTAAGACAGGAGGATAACTATGAGTTGAAGCTGCCTATCGAGACTCTGTACCAAATAAATAAATAAAAGTTTTAAATCAGAGGACACAAATACAGAAGCACAAAAACAGCAATTGTAATGATACTGAAGATAAATAACTTAAGTCATGGTTCAATACAGATGATAAATTAAAAGATGTATGCTTTGCTTATTTACTATTCCCTCTTCACTAAGAGCAGGTCTCCTCTAACATGACCTATACCATAGTTTTTTTCAAAAAAAAATTTTGTAACTCCTAGGTAGCAACCTCAAAATATAAAATACAAAGCTTTATTATCTGCGAGAAATAGTTTCCTTGACACAGGGACGGAACCCTGGCACTAAACTTGCATATAACAGTCACTGCTGCCCTCTCATTGCCTCAAAGTGTCCCCTCAGAATCTTAAACTTGTCCCAAACAGTGAAAACTGCTAGTCTAGATTGTCTTAATAAAAGCCAACACTATCTGGGCTCCCAGAACTAACTTAACACTGAGGTATAACACTTGAGCCTCAGTCAAGAGGCTTTCCAATACTTTGCCAATTCTATCTGTGACCTGAGTCCTGGGTGTGAGGTACAGGACAGGATGTGTGATAGGGTCCTAGTATTATCATAAAAGATGTGGAATCAGACCTGGGTTCCGAGTAGTAACTGTGTAATTTTTGGCAAATCACTTTACTTTTATGGGACTCATCTAGCCTCTTTTGACACTCCATCCTCAGAGTTATTAAAAAGAAGGCTTGAGTATGGTACAAATCCATAGTATTCCATAAGTACTCTAAGGTAGACGCCACGCACAGCTAAGAACACTGAGTCACAGAAGCTAGGTGGTCTGGTCAGCATCATATAGCTAATAAAATGAGGAGCGAGCCCACATTCCTATTTCCAAATCGCACAGTCGTTGCAGAGTTTTGTGTCTTAAGAATGCTTGAGCGAAGGTGCTAGGAGGGTTTCTTCTCCAGCTTTACTCTGACTTTGGAGTCCAAGTTTGAGGAAAAAGTAGTCGGAAATGGCCTGAACTACGGAGCAAATGGGCTGGCGCTGGAGGACGCCTCTGGGAGTCGGGGAGGTTCACCAGCTGGCATCCCTTAAGCTTCTGAGAAAATTTACTTTATAAGAGGATGGCAGGAAGCGGGGCGAAGGGGGAGGTATAGTAATCAAGCCAATAAGGCGTGGCCCCAACTGGCCGAGAAGGTGCAGACCCAGACCCTTCTCACATCCGCGCCCCTTCACTCTTCGGTTCCCAATCCTGAAGCTCGTCTAGGAAGAGGTGACAGCGTCTCTGCCACCTCCCGCTCGGTCCCGCATGACCGCTGCACGGACTGTCTGCAGCCGCGGCTAGATCCCCGCACCAGATTCAGGCTGCCAGAAAAAGCCCAAGAGACTCAAACTTACCAGTCCTCCTCCCCGGCAGGTGCCGACGCACACGCCGCCATGTCTCCTCCCGCCGGCAGCCGGAACCGGAAATGCCTTTTGGAAAGTTGGGGACGCCAAAGCCGGGCGGTGGGGGCGGGCGGGGGAAGCTCGCGCTGTTTCTAGGCAACCGCCGACTCCGGGTCCTCAGCCGGGCCTGATGGCCAAGCACCGTCTTTAGTGCCCTGGGAAGTGCCTATGGGCTGTCCTCGTCTCTCCCAGGTTTCTGAGAGCCTTTGTCCTCGGAACTTCTGACCGTCCTAGCGAGTAAAACCGGTAAGAACGCGAGCTCCAAGAGACCGGCAGAAAGGGGCGGAGAAAAATAATAGGTCACGCAAAGTGTGTAGGCAGCCAGAAGGGACTAGAGTGGAGGCCAGGCGGGTATACCTCAACCTGAGGAGTTTGGAGCGCCCAAGCTGGGATGAAAGAGGGACCCTCGGCCGGCCAGGCCATAGAACAGGGGGCTTGGGTGACGGTACCGAGACTGGCAGTGGCAGGAACTTGGGCGGGGCTGAAAAGGCGACGTTAGTTTGAGTGGAGCGAGGAAAAAGTTATCTTGGGGGTGCAGGGCATGAGAGAGTGGACGGAATACTCAGAAAAGGGAAGCAAAGTTCAAGGAACCGGTCTGTTTGTTTAAAGATCTCATCAACTTTCCATCCACACTACCGTACCAATTTTTTGAGGCCTGAATTATTGTGAGAAAGATTATTGTATAACTTTTACCCCTCTGTACCCTTACCAAGGTCCTCAGATGTGTGGAACCGTCCCTCGATGTGTAGCTCCATGCCACCATCTCTACCTTCCTTCTGAGAGATACTGAAACCTTTGTCATGGAAAAGTACCACGTATTGGAGATGATTGGAGAAGGCTCTTTCGGGAGAGTGTACAAGGGCCGAAAAAAATACAGTGCTCAGGTGGTGAACAAAGGATATTTTCTGAGTGGGATTCATTGTCCCCAGTTCTAGTGGAAGAGCCAGAGGGTTGCATTTATACCGACCTGTATTCTGCAGGCACTGACTTCTTCCAGAACATGATCTCTGAAGTTGGCTTACTTGGGTTCAACTGCGTTACCCCAGTTTACAACCTTAGAACTATAGACAACTTTTCTGTCCCTCAGTTTCTTCGTCTATAGAACGGAGATAAAAACTTATGAGACTTAAGGATTAAATATCTGGTCACACTAAATCACTGAGTACAATGATTGACTGTAAATAACAATTATTATTATAATATCATACCTTGTGGGAAGAGATAAACCACTTGAAACTGTTTTTCCCTCTTCAGTTTTCTTTCTTTTTCCCCTTAGTGTTATCTTGAGGTTTTTGGTTAGATTAAAACAGCTTTGGAAGAATCTAATAAAGGGAGCCAGATATAGTGATACATGCCAGTAATCATAGTAATCTGGGAGGTTATGGCAGGAGCATCTCAAGTTCAAGCCCAGCTTAGGCAATTTAGTGATTTAATGTGTACCTGTCTCAAAACATTAAAATAAAAAGGGCCATTCTATGGCTCAGTGTGAAGGTGCTGGTTCTAGCCCCAGTACTGAAAAAAAAAAAAAAAAAAAAAAAAATCCAACAAAGGGATCTGTTTGGCAAATTTTGTTTCCTCCTGGGCTGGTGAGTCAGGTTGGTCCTGTGCAAGACCGAACTACCACGGGGAAAACAAAGATGGGAAACTTACAGGTATAATAACAGTTACTCAGACTGTTTAATACAGAGTTTTAGAACTCTGCGATTAAGTTTGAGATTCTAACCTTTTCTGTAGTTGTGGTTTGATCTTGAGCGTTTACTTCACCACTGACAGGTGGTGGCGCTGAAGTTCATCCCCAAAATGGGGCGCTTAGAGAAGGAGCTGAGGAATCTACAACGAGAGATTGAAATCATGCAGGGTCTTCGTCATCCCAACATTGTGCATATGCTTGACAGCTTTGAAACTGACAAAGAGGTGTGTTTTGATGGTTTGGGGGTCACTTCTCCCCAAGCACATGGGTCCCAGGTACTTCCCAACCTCAGAGTGCATAAATCTTCTCTCATTGTCAGTGCCTTCTCTCTGCAGGTGGTGGTAGTGACAGACTATGCTGAGGGAGAGCTTTTTCAGATCCTGGAAGATGATGGAAAACTTCCAGAGGACCAGGTATGCTCCCTGTACCTGACCTCTCTCCAGGTAGAGGATGGGTAGGGCAGGCTGAAAGCCTTGAGGGTCTCCATTTTTGAAGACTCTTGACAAGAATGCAAGAGTCCGGGGATATATAGAGACAATATTGAATACTGGAGCCATAATATGTGAGTATGAAGCTTGGGTTTCCCTGCCCCTCACTAGTTCGTTTTCCCTGGACAAAATTAATTTCTCTTTTTTAAAAATGTATTTAGTACAGGGTCTACAGACTCTTGCTATACAGATAGGACTCCTAGTGATCCTCCTGTTTTCAGCCTCCTGAGCACTGGGATTACAAGTGCACACCACCACGTCTAGTCTCAGTCCTGTCTCAGTGTGCCCTGGGAGTGGGGCCTGCATGGCATACTGGAGATCAAACCCAGTCCCTGCATCTGCCTAAGCAGGCGCTTTAATCCTCTGAGCTCTCTGGCTGGCCCTAAATTAATCTCTTTGTGTTTAGTTTTTTCATTTGTAAGATGGAGATGCTACTAGTATCTACCTCATAAAACTATTATGGGGATCAATAAGTAAATTTATGCAAAATATTTAATTAGTTGGCTAATATTAATAACATAGTCATTTTTATAAGGTATCTTTGAGGAAGATGGGCCAATATGGTCGTACCAAAGAGGGCAATGAGAGATAAGGGTTATAGTCATATGGTATTTGCCACTAGAACATAATGATTAGCAATGGGATTTGGTTTGAATAGTTTTTGTTTGTTTGTTTGTTTTTGGTTTGAATAGTTTTAAGCCACTTACATTTTAGGGGTTTCTTTCTAATAAGTCTTAATACGTGGTGTCTCCCAATGAAATCCTTATTACTACAATATTCTTTTTCCTTCTCTTCACTATAAATAATCATTTTATTTTGTCTTGTTTGCATCATTACTTTTGAGAAAAGGGATTTATTTTTCATTAACAGCTAATTTGTATTGAATATTTACATGCTTGGCTTTTTTTAAAGACAGAGTCTCATTATGTAGTTTATTTATTTATTTATTTATTTATTCATTTATTCATTTTTGTGGTACTAGGGATTGAACTCAGGACCTTGTGCTTGTCTGGCAAGTGCTTATCTACTGAGCTCTCTCCCCAGCCCCTCACTATGTAGTTTAGACTGGCCTTAAACTCACTGTATAGCCCAGGCTGGTCTCAGATTTACAAGGATCCTCTTGCCTCAGCCTCCTGAATGTTAGGATTACAGGTGTGTACCACCATGTCCAGCTGGCAGGTACCATTCGGAGCTCTGGGAGAATAGGAAAATTCACCTTAGCTGTAGTATTAGAAGTCTTTGAGCTTGTCAGCCAGCTCCCTTTGCTCACCTTTTCTCTCTCCCTCCCACCTGTCTGACCCATAGGTTCAGGCCATTGCTGCCCAGTTAGTGTCAGCCCTATACTATTTGCATTCCCATCGCATCCTTCACCGAGACATGAAGCCTCAGAATATTCTCCTTGCCAAGGATGGTAGCATCAAGCTCTGTGACTTTGGGTAAGGTTTCTGAGCTTCCAGTTCTGCAGGGGGCCCTAGACTATATGCATGACTTGTTTGGCAGAAGGATTATTTTTTTTTTTGAGGGGGGCAGGCTCCAAATGCCTTCAGGGCAGGTTTGGCTGGCTTGAGTTCTGGGGATCGAACCACAGCAACCTGAGCCTGACTGCTTTGTTGAAGCAGCCACTTAAAGAAACTGAGCTAAGGGGCAGGCCCCCTGCATGACTTATTTGGGCTTCATTTTAGAAGCTGGAGATTGGCCTTTTTCTGTGTCCTTTAGAACTAATCAAAAGCACTTCCCTGGCAAGCGGAAGGGCCTGAGTTCAATCCCCAGTTCCGCAAAAACAAAACAAAACAAATCAAAGATGCTTTCTCTTCTGGCATGGTATATCTCATACAACAACAGGTAGTAAATGGCTGTTTTAATTACTTTCTTGTTGTTGAGATACAATACTTAACGTTTACAACTTAAGGAAGGAAAATTTTATTTGGTTCACAGTTTGTAGGAGTTTCAGTCCAGAGTATCTGACTCCAAGGCAGAACTGCATGGCACAGGGGCACAGCAGACTAGAGCTGCTCATGACATGGTGATGGAGAAGCAGAGAGAAGTCAGGCCACACCCTCAGTGGCACATTTCCTCCAACAAGGGTTCACTGCCCAGCATCACATTTAGCTGTAAACTCCTCAGTGGACTGACCTACCAGTGATATCACACTCCCAAGATCCACTTGCCTCCCAGAAGGGCCACCTCTGAGCACCTGAGGCTTTGGGGGAACATCTAGATAGAAGGCATAACAATAACTGTATTTAGCTTCTAGGAATGACTGTGTCCAGAGTATCCTTTCTCTTTGCATTTCCGTCCTGTCATCTGCTGCAGATTTGCCCGGGCTATGAGCACCAATACAATGGTGCTGACGTCTATCAAAGGTACACCACTCTATATGTCTCCAGAGCTAGTGGAAGAGCGACCATACGACCACACAGCAGACCTCTGGTCTGTGGGCTGCATTCTGTATGAGCTGGCTGTGGGAACCCCTCCCTTCTATACCACAAGCATCTTTCAGCTAGTCAATCTCATTCTCAAGGACCCTGTACGCTGGCCTTCTACCATCAGTCCTTGCTTTAAGGTAATAAAATAGAAAGGGAGAGTACATCAGGTTTACATCAGAAACCTGTTTCCCTCTACTTCTGTTCTTCCAAAATCCTTTTCCAGAGCTGGGACATGACCTTGCAAGAGCTAGGTCAAGCAGCCGGTTTTTCTCCTGAAGGGACTTATTCTGACAGGGTGTTCTAGGGTCTGCTAAACTTGGAAATGGTAACTTTTGTTTGAGGCAGACTATGTTACATCGTAGTGATGGTGTACTTATGATATGTATGCTTCAGTGGATGATTTGTATCATTAAAAACCTCTAAAAGGTTCACCATCACTGCTATACCACAACAGAAAGATAATTTTAAGATACCAGAGATAATGGTCATTTTGTACATTCTCTATGACACTTACAGAGGATGCAGCATCTAGATGATAGCTATATGTTGTCCACACTACTTTCACAGCCCTTCAGACACCACAATAGCCAGTGACGGGGCTGGCTCAGTGATTAGGGGCAGATGATAGAGTGGCAGTGCCTGTCCATTATAGCTGTATCAGCAGACTGGCAAAGGGGAGGTGTGAAGGGGGAAGAGTTTGTACTCTTTTTTTAATTTTTCACATAAGGCAAGATTATGGATCATCAGTGGAATTTCAGTGCTATCTTCTCCCAGAATAAAATCTTAATATAACTTCGCTTTGTCTTCCCAACTTATTTTGTTAGACCAAGTGATTCTCAAAGAGAATTTAAAGAAAGAATCCTTAATTTGAGAGTGTACATAAGATAATCATTCTTCAGGGCAGATCTGTGGGTATCTTTAGCAAGAGCCGTAGTTATCCAAATCACTTTGTTTTAGAACAGTGATCATCTAGTAGTGCCTTTTATTCTTGTTTTAGGCCCAACTGATGATTTTCCCAAGGATACCTCATAACAGACGTACTCTTTTGAGAGGTAGTCTTCCTACCTCTCCACCATCTGAAGACTTGCTGAAAGATTTCTGGTCTTGAGTGTTCCCAAACACATCTTTGCACCATTACTTGAGTGTGTGAGTGAGATGCATTGGTTCCTACACAACCACAAAGACACCATGAAAGGGAGGGCAAAGAGAAGAGTTTGGGATGCCTTCAAGTGTTTTGTTTCTAAAGATGATTGTAAAGGTGACAGCTCCTTTTCCAATTTTTTTCTCTTTATTTGCAAAGACATTGACCTTAAGATTTCTGCTTTTACTTCTTGGGTTACGAATGTTTATGAACAGGAAATGGGCCTCTGTAGGAGGTAAGGCTGCAGTCTGCCTGGAAAATGAGACCTAAAGAAGGGCTATTGAGAGTATGGTAGAGCCTGCTATAAGAGTAGATGCAACAGTCTTGGTTTTCCATTTCAGCTCGTAGGTTAGAGAGATCCTAGAAGGAAGAGGAGGAAGGGCTGATGGAGTATTGTTTCTCTCCACAGAACTTCCTGCAGGGGCTGCTCACCAAGGACCCCCGGCAGCGTCTGTCCTGGCCAGACCTCTTGCACCACCCCTTTATTGCTGGTCGTGTAACCAGTGAGTTATCAGAGTCCCTGGGGCTCTAGCACTTCCTAGTATTTTCTCTAGTCTAACTTTATTTCTCAGTATCTAAATCCAGCATATCTTCTTTCTCCCACCAGCTCAAACTTTGTTCCTAGCTCTTCTTAACCTAACATTTGCCATTCTTACTTCCTTTTTGCCACTCTGTTTAAATGGCTTTCTCTGCAGAAGCCCAGAGGCACTGAAGTTGTACAAGGGGCTAAGTCAACATGGTGGATAAAGCTCTAGAATAATCATGTTTCCCCCCCTCCCCCGCAGTAATAACGGAACCAGCAGGCTCAGATTTGAACACCCCATTCACCAGCCGCCTACCCCCAGAACTTCAGGTCCTAAAGGATGAACAGGCCCATCAGCTGGCCCCCAAGGGCAATCATTCTCGCATCTTGCATCAGGCCTATAAACGCATGGCTGAGGAGGCCAAGCAGAAGGTGTGTGGAGTATAGGAAACTATATTAGCATGAGCATGGCCAGGCTAATGACTAATAAGAAAGTTGGAAAATAATGACTTTATAGTTAATTGGGAAAGGACCACAGTATGATCCATACTGCCCTGTGGCAACCAAGTAGTTTTTTGTTTTTTTTTTGAGACACTGTCTCATGATGTAGTTGAGGCTGGCCTTGAACTTACTCTGTAGCCCAGGTTTGCATTGATTTGGGGTAATCCTCCTGCCTCAGCCTCTGGAGTACTGGGATTACAGGCATATGCCATCACACCCAGCAGCAACCAAGTAGTTCTGATCCAGTGTCTCCTCACCTCTCACAGAAACAACAGAACACAGGACCTGCCCTTGAGCAAGAGGACAAAACCAACAAGATGACCCCTAGCACAGCCTCTAAGCTGGAGCTAAGGGCCACTTCTGAAAAATCAAGCCTCTTGGCTGGGATCTCGGCCTCAGAAATGAAGAGCAGTTGTGCTGAGAGGCGAGCTGGAGAGGCACCCCCTGCACCTTGGTGAGGAGGTTATAGTAAGGATTCTCTGTAGGGGAGGATTTCTCACAAACATTTGGCTCTAGGCAAAGCATATATGACATGGTCCTTTCACTTTATTGCCTAAACAGACTGGGCTTTGGGGATTTGAGTCCTGGGTTTGTAATACAGGTACTTTCCTAATTCAAGGGGAAACTTGAGGACTCGCTTTTTTTATGTGTCATTTATACTTTAAAGGGGAAAAGATCATCTACATCCAAAAGGCAGAATTGAGCTAAAAGCTACAGATGAAGACTGTACACTAGATTTGAGAAGAAGATCCAGTGAGAGAGAATCCTTAATGATGTATGTGTGGGTGCCAACATGTGCTATACTGGTCATATTCCATGTCCTAAAGGAAATTTCCTCTCTCTACCTGTATGGCTTGTTTCTCATTCTTTTCCTGGGCCGAGGGGCATGGGAGTTGGGGTGCACATAAGTCGGTCAACCCTAAGTCGCACAGGTGTAGAGTTCATCTCATACCCTGGCTTTCTCTGGCAGGGAAAAGCGCATTACCCTGGATTGTGAGCAAGCATGCCTGGAGCTGGGGCCAGAGGTGGCAAGCCAGCAGAGCACAGACACAGGGGACCTAGAAGATGGTGAAGAGGTGTCTCCTTCCAAACTTACTCTACTTTTGTATACATGTATCTGGATACAAGGAAATTTGTTGTTTGTTTTTACATTATGAGTTCATCCTACATCTGTTGTTTTGCATCATTCTGTCATTCCTCTCTCCATCTGACCTGTTTTAGGGCTTTTCCTACATTAGAGCACATAGTTCTCTCTCAACATTTTATATTTAAGATTCTAGCTTTTTATTTTGAAATAATTTCATCTTTTTTTTGTAGTTTAGGAAAGGGTCTATAGGATGTTCAGGGTCTCACTACTAGATCGGCTCATAGTGATCTGCCTGTTTACAGCCTCCCAAGCGCTGGGATTACAGGTGTGTACCACCACACCCAGCCTCAATTACCATCTGAGCGTACCCGGGAGACGGGACCAGCACCAGCACGGCAGGCCGGGGGATTGAACCCCTGGCCCCTGCACCTCCTTGCAGCACTTTAATCCGCTGAGCTATGTAGCCAGCCCTAATAATTTCATCTTAAAGAATAATTCCTATATACCCTTCAGTTCTTACATACAGTTTCTAGATACCATCCTTGTGGTTCATTTTATGCTACTAAAACAAAATATCTGAGCCTAGGTTTTTTTTTTTTTTTTTTTTTTTTTGAGATACAGGCTCACTGTGTAATTCAGGAACTCACTAGGTAGCCCTGGTTGGCCTTATACTCATGGTATTCTTTTTGCCTCAGCCTCTTGAGTCACACCTGGCTTGAGAATGGATAATTTATAATGAACAGAATTGTCTTAAAGTTCTGGAGGCTGAGGAGTTCAGTCAAAATGCTGGCAGATTAGGGCCTACTTTCTCTGCTTCTAACACACTGCCTTTGTTGCCAGATCTTGGGTAGGAGGGAATCTGTGTTCTCACATTGCAGAAGAATAAAGAGTGAATAAACTCACTCTCACTAGCCCTTTTTATATAGTGCAGAGCCCTTGTGATATAAAAACAGACTATCAGAGGGCCGGGGAGATGGCTCAGTGGAATAAGCACTTTCCTGGCAAGCACAAGGGCCTGAGTTCAATCCCTGGTTTTGCAAAAATAACAACAACAACAAAAAAAACCCAGACCATCAGGGCTCACCTCTTAACATTGTTGGATTAGAGGTTAAGCACCCAACAAAAACATTTGGAGAGAAAAAAATATTCAAAGCATAGTGCCTCTCATACCCAGATTTGCCTGTCTAAATTTTGTTACATTTGCTTGACAATTCTGTGTATGTGTGTTCTTTCTTGAATCATTTTGGAGGAAGTTGCATATATGACCCTTTTACCCTTAAATACTTTATGCATATTTCCTAAGAATAAGGTCAGTCTCATGTACTGTCACAGTACGATTACAAATATCAGAAATTTATCATTGGCCAAAGATAGCTCAGCGGTCTAAGTGCCTGCCTGGCAAACACAAGGACCCAGGTTGGATCCCCCATACCACTTGCTGTGTTGGCCCTGCTCCAAGTTGGCCACCGAAACTGGGCGTGGTGGTGCATGCCTGTAATCCCAGCGCTGGGGAGGCTGAGATGGGAGGATCACTATGAGTCCAAGCTACATAATGAGACCCTATATCAACCCTATATCAAATAAATTTTTAAAAAAGTTTATCATTGACATAATACCATTATAATAGTAAGCAAATTAAGAAATAATCTTCAATCTATGTGCAAATTCTTCTAATAATGTACTTCATTAAAAACATTTTTCCTAGTCTGTGATTCAACCCATGTCATACTCTGTATTTAATTGTTATACTTCATTAGTCTCTTGTAAGATGGAATAGTTCTGAGTCTTTCTTTGTCTTTTTTTTTTTTTTTTTAAACAGGGTCTTGCTTTGTAGTTCAGACTGGCCTTTGTTCTCAGTATATATCCCAGGGTGGCTTGAATTTGTGACAGTCCTTCTACTCAGTCTCCTGAGTCCTGGGATTATAGGAATGTACCACCATTCCTGGCTACTTTATCTTGAGATAGATGTATTAGTCCTTTTAAAAAATTTACTATGACTAAATATATGAGGCTGGTTAACTTTATAAAGAAAAGAGGAAGCCAGGTATGGGAGTGCATGCCTGTAATCCTAGTATTCTGAGAGCCTGAGGTAGGGAGATTGCAAGTTTGAGTCCAGCCTGGACAACTTACTGGGAATTTGTCTCAAAGTTCCTCAAAAGGATCAGGGATTTAGCTCATTGCAAATGCCCTGAGCTTAATCCTAAGTGTCAGAATAATTACTTAAAAATAAAAAAATAAAGGAAAAAAGAGGATTATTTATTTAGATCATAGTTTTGGAGATTCCAGGGCCAGGCGTTGACATTTGCTTGGCTCTGGTGAGGACCTCAGGGCTCAGAGTGTCAAGGCAGTGAGGTAGAAAGAAGGATCACATCTCACAACAGGAAATCAGAGTAAGTGGGGCCAGTGATAGGCTTTATGATACCCAATCCCAAGCTGAGTACACAGTCAGTGGCAGAGTGCTGACCTAGTGTTCATGAGATCTTCAATCTCCAGTACCATAATAAAGAAGAAAAAGAAAAATGCCTCTTCCCTTCTTGGGGCTGCTCCCCACTGACCTTCTACTAGGCCCACCTCTGAAAGGTTCTGCTCTCTCTCACTAGTGACCAAGCCTCCAACACATCAACCTTTGAGCAAATACGTAAGCCATGTCCAAACTTGAACAGTACATGAGCCCTGTTCCTCAAACTTCTGTTTCCCTCATTGTTGAATTTGGGTTATAAATTTTTGGTAAGAATACCAGAGAAGTGATGCATCCTTGGTACCAGTCTCTTTAATAACCTCAGTTTTTCCTGTTAGAGATGGATTTTGGTTTATTATTCCCTGACCAACTGCCTTAAGGTGGCTTCTCTTTTTGTTGTTATCAACCACACTGTGATGGTCACCTCCTAGGTATCTCTGCACTCCAGGATTCCTCACACTGCCAGTGCCTCTTTTTTTTGCCTAGTGATTGAAGATGCACACCTGTACTGCTTGTAGTCACTTCTTTTTTTTTTTTTTTTTTTTTTGTTTACATGGGTGATTGACTGAAAGCAAATATTCC